AATCTTTCTTTTTCTTTTCCTCTCAGGGTCACTCCCCCATTTCTGGCTGATCTCAAAAATGATTTCACCACTCTTTGCTGTCCTTCATCAAGACTCACACTAGACTCTTTAACTTTCTGATGGAGATTCTAATACAAAGAAGCATTTGAAAATGATATGTATTGTAGAAAGCAACATCTTCTGTCACACTATCACAGTTATTCTTGGAGACTAAGCTCTACTAAATATGTTAATATGTTTAACCCTTTAAACCCTAAGAGTGACCAGCATTTAGTTTCTCCTTACAATAATACCGCTGAATTATTCACTTAAGGTCATGAGAATTAAGGAAATGATCACCAAAGAAGCTCTCGATTGTTCAACAAATTCTCCTTTTCAGCAGCACCTTCTTAGGGAATGTAAAGATAACAATATAGAGAATATTCATACTGATGTTAGGGTGTAAAGGGCTAACAAAAGTCTGCAACATTTGATATCATGATGACACTATATCCTATTTAGAAGTAAGTATGCATGCTTAAGTGCATGGTTCAAGATAACAAGGTAACAACAACAACATTCTGGGATAAACTGTAGTATTCTTGAACTTCAATCTAGTGACCTCTTTTTAACCATTTAAATAACTTGAAAGAGAAAGTTAACAGCACTTGAAGGTTTGGACAAGTCCTTGTGACATGTCTGTGCACACAAAAAAACACTGCTCTATGTATATTGCTTCCAAAAAAATTACATGTCTGTGCACAAAAAAACACTGCTCCATGTATATTGCTTCCCAAAAAAAATTATATACATTTCATTTTCTTCCTATGATCATTAGTACCATTTTTATCTTTGTGAAGCTTTTGAACTGAAAAATAAGAGAGTTAAACTACCTGCCTCTTGTAGCCCAATAGAAGATCAAGCATCACTTACACTTTGGGAACAGGCTTTAAGTTGCTGAGGAGTTTACAAAGTCTAACTTGGAAAACTAGCTTACTACAGTTTCAACCACAAAAAAATCTTAGAATCTTTACAGTTTCTGGAACAACTGATTACTTGCCTGGTTTAATAGAAGACTTCCTCTCCTTCACTATGCAAGTCATAAATAATTGTTTCTTCTTACCTGGAGAGTATCATATACAGGGACACTCTGTGAGGCTTTCATAGAAGCTTGTACAACCAGTGGTTGCGCCTGTAAAACATTTTGGAAAAAAATGAAGGTAGCAATACTAATATTGCAGTAATGCATCAATCAATTCAAGGTTTCAACATCCCCCAGTGCATTGGAACTTTGGAAGATTGATTTGTTCCAATTCCCACCCCCCTGGGAAAGTATTAAATTCAAATGCTCCATCCAAGCACAATTTTTTTATTAAATAATTCTTTGTGTAATCACCAACTACAAGGTATCCAATATTACAATATCATTAATGACAGAAGTTCAAAGCAAAACAGCAAAAAGGTTAGCCATACTAATATACCTTTTGATAAACATCTCTCAACTCTTGACTATTACAAACTCTGTTTAAATGTGATGTAACTCCCCAGGCATAACTAAGAGGATTGCCTATCTTCTCTAGTGGTTCAATTATAGTTGACCAGGGTTGATCAATCAGTGTGTCCTTTCCTCTGTATAGTTCTAGAAAAATAATTGGTTGTGAAACATTTATTATTCTAAATGATTCCACATGAAAGATACAAAGTAAAAGAAGCATTTGAAATTGCCATGACTACAAAAGAGGACTCAAGAAGTAGATGACTTTGCTCTTAACCATTTAACTTTCACAAATGACTACCACAGAATTTCTATTTACACTATCAATACTACATCAAGCAGACAAATACCAGATTCTCCGAACCAACATCATGAGAATTACATAGCAAACAGTAAGGAGAATTACTGATGAGATCTTGGGAGTGAAAGGGTTACTCATAACTTCCTCCCACCTTACGTAGGCCCATTGAAGCCAACAAAATATTTACTTTGTTTCCCACTTTTTATAGCACTTAAGCAGAATTTAAAACATATCTGACATCAGACAAAACAGTCATTTCTTGTGAAACCATTACTGGTCATCATCTCAAAAATTAACACAAAGTTTTGAAAAGAAGTACAATACATACATAATATTCTTTAGGCTGCAATATTCAAAGCACAGAAAAACTCTGACAACTTTGGTGTGAAACCTCTTTTTTAATATTAGAAAAAGCTCAAGTACTCAGCTGTGAATCTACCATGTCAAAAAGATGAAAGGAAAAAGTAGCATAACAGCTTATTTTATAAAGAAGGATTTGCTCATCATGCAAGACTATGGAGATAGCACTTTTGGCAGCAAATTCAATTTCATAGGAAGTTTAGAATTTGCATATTTTTTGTCCTGTAAACAAGTTTTTATGGTGACTCTGATATGCAAGTGAGTCACTCACTCATTAAAATGTAGACACACTGTAATCAGTTGTCTCGTACTTGCCCAAGCCTGATACCATAATCTTGGAATAGTAATTGCATATAAACCATAGCCACGCTTGTTACACTCTATATTTAGCATTGTTGCTTTAAATGCCACCTTTTGAGAGAACGAAAACTTATTTTAATTAGTAAAAACACAAGCTTCGATTGTTTTTGATCTGATGCAAAACAATAACAATGAGAATAGTTTAATTTTATTGGCTGATTGATTAAATTTAATTACTCTTATGCAAACATTGGCAGCTGGATTGATTAGTAACTCTTTAGCAGACAAAAATAATCCTGTGCTTTTCTGACCAAAAGAAGACTAGTGTAATTCATTCATATCTTTAATTTCAATCAGTGAAAAAGCCTTGCAATTACTTAAATACAATTTAAATTATATCCTTTCAGAGGAAGAAAAATTTAGGGGTTTGTTACCAGATGCATGTGGGAGAAAAGCCTTGAAAACAAAGATCTTTGTGTTACAAAGCAAATATTTATTGAGTCATTGTGAGGCAAAACCTGAAGTAGTAATGTAATTTGGCTTGTGTGGGCAAAGAGGTATTTGGAGCATTTAATTTTGCAGACGGAAATTTGATGAATGCAGAATATCAATTTGTACTATTTTTGTAGACTGCCTGAGGAATGTGTTTAACTATTTTGTGGAGTTGGATGGTAACCACTATTCTGGATTTCTTTGTGACTCTCTGAAAGCTTTCAAGCACAGTCACAACATAAGGCAGAAAAATCCTCCAAACTTGGGTCACTTTAATCTTTACAATGCAAGTTTTTGTGCAAGACTACTAATTGCAAGTTCACAGAATATTTCATATCTAGATGATCAAGTTGGCCATAGGGATTCTTTAATCCTTTTTCAAAAGACCTTCCAATTTCATACATGATAAAACTTATTCATAGGATCAGTTAAAATTTCTTGAGGACTGTTAGCCGTAGAAACATTGCGGGACGCAAAATTTCAAGGGATTCAACTGTAAAGTTTCACACAGGATCTACCAAATCAGCTTCTGCCCAACATTAAATAAGGTTTACCCTTCTCGACAAGAAAAAAAAAAGGATTTATTCATGAAATAATGTAAAAGAAACTTAAAAAGGAGTCTTGTTAAAAGCTGACCTTGTAATTTTGTTTCGAACTCGGTAAAGTCACTCTCGAAATCGTGAGTCAGTTTCTCGATGGCTGGCGCTACATGGGTAGTTTGAAATTCATTGAAGCGTGGTAAGCCTTCGTGGCTGAGAAGAGGATTGTAATCACTTGCAGTGCAAATAGGACGCCTTAGAATCCTTATTTGCGTGAAGAGCGTAGACAGATGAAAGCATCGAAGCGGGTCTGTCCAAAGATTCCTAAACTTTGGCAACGAACCTACCAGAGCCGCCATTTTGTAATTCCGCTAACTTCAGAGAGCGTAGGCGCAACTCTAACTCCATTCTCATTCCCAAGCTCTCTCCTCTTAGCTTTTCATGTCATTTAGAGACCTTGACGAGTAGGGGATGATGACACGAAAGTCCAAGAAAGGAAAGTGGATTTTTACATGTTTTGACTACTATATATGGGAAATGAGAGGATTTCCTTCCCTGGAAAGCCAAATGATGAAAGAAATTCTCTCAGTTCGTGAGATAAGTTGTAAATCCGCCGACAAGCTTATCAGATAAAAGAATATATTTTTTACTACCTTAGGATCGAAAGCTTCGCTTCGCTCAACACTGACGCGCCGCAAGAGTGATTTAACAGCCTGAAAATATTTGAGTAACAGTCAGAAAGAAAAATCAGACAAACTTTTTTCTCTTAACACTTTTAGCGAATTTTCTGCTCGGAACATCAACAGCAAGAAGATTTTGAGCGTCAATAACTACCCCCCCTCCTTTTTTTTTTTCTCCAATTTCGATTCGTGTCAATGAGTGAAAAAAATTCACGTTTGAAAAGAAAGTTTCTGGGAAGCATGCTCCCCTCCTAGTTAGCTCTTGCTCGCGCTTACGCCTTTACATTTCTTGTCTCGTTTATTCTTTAAGAATTTTTTTTCTTATGTCTGTCTGCCTCTGTGATGTTAACACTTGGATAAGGGACTGTTAGGTCTTAAAGGACAAGAGAGGAGGCGGACAGGACAGCTCGTGGTTACTTGGTCCACCGGTTCAGACCGACATCCGTCACGGATTCACTTTTCATGAGAAGGCAAGGGCTCGGGGACTGGAAACACTTTGTATGTGCTCCTGGCGCAAAGGTCTTCTAAGAAAGTCAGTTTAGCATGCTGACCGAGAGTAAGTTATTTGAAAAGGCGTTTGACTATCTCATGTTTGCGAGATGCTTTTTATAAGATGGCGCAATTCACCCCTAGTCCGATTTCATTCGCCAAAGTCTTTACTGGAAGTTGTTGACAGAGAATTTATATATTCACATCGATCTACTTTTTTTTTTCACTTTCAATAGATGATGACCTAAGTTCAACATCGACATTATTCAGGGTTTTTTTTTTTTGCTTTAATTTATGAAATATTTTACGCAATACTTCATAACCAATTTTTTGAAGAAATCGCGTCTCATTTCTATTATATTTATTACCATTACTTATATCATTGATATTATTACTACTTTACTTTAGTGAATCTTAAACGTGGACGATGTTTCTTGGAAGCCTTGAAAACTACGTGTGAGGACTGAATCGTTCCCATTTATCTCCCGCTTCTTGAATTTGAACATGAAATAAGAGAGACGAATTACACGAGTTAAGCTGGTCAGTGAGACCGCCAACTCAAAATTTGAATATAAACGGCTATTGTTGACTCCTGACATACAGTTGGCACTTGACATACACAACGTGAGTACATGCAACATTTTTGTTTCTTTTCATACTTTGATCTCTATTCAGTCATGCAAACTGCTTTCTTTATTTGATCAATGCTATTCATTCGAATCCGCATGATCATCTCACATGTAGCTGACGGTTGACATGACGTACTACTGCGTTAAGACGAACGTGACCCTCGACGAGTTCTAACTGTATTATGATTAGGGGTCGGGAGGCTGAATCGCTCTATATTTGTGATAAGCCAAATTTTCCTCTTAATGTGAGAAGTTGTCAAAATTTTAAAAGGGATTGTTTGTTGCTAACTTTTACTCAGGAATGAGTGCAAAAAATCTGAGTTGAAAATGCTGAAATACTGATTAAAATATGCTAAAACTCACAGAGAAAGACCCTACTCACCCCGTCCTCCCATCTGAAGAGAAAATCACGTTTTTCTGTCTACATTCAGTAATTACCTCCTGCAGGCATGGCCGGCTTTGACTTCACGTGTTTAAGGATGAACATTTTTTACGAGGTTATATGTCATTATGGTTGTAAACGATTAGGCGTATAGACCCCTAAAATGCTGAATATTGTTACTATCCTTGAAAATGAAAGGTGGAGATCAAGATCCACATGTAAGTCAGGAAACAAACCCGAACCCTGTCAAGCGCACTAGCCGGAATTTAAGCGAAAAGAAGAGAAGAGATCGTTTCAACATTCTCGTCCAGGAACTTGCCGGGATTGTTTCTCCAGCAGATTGTCGGAAACTAGACAAAACAGCTGTGCTCGAACTTGCTATTAACTTTTTACGGAAACATCAGTCAAAAGTACAGTCTCATCCACGAAATGGCAGTGGAAATGCAGCGAGTTGGCAGCCATCGTTTGCCACAGACACAGAGTTCAACTTGATTGTCACAGAAGCTTTAGACTCTTGTATATTTGCGGTCGAAAATAGCGGCAATATATTATATGCATCTGACAGTGTTTTGCCTCTGTTAGGACATCTTTCGTACGAACTAAGTGGAACGAGTTTATTTGGTTATGTTCACGAAGATGATACTTTGAGATTTTGGACGAAGCTTGCCTTTGTCTACAGTGGCACTGACGCAGAAGCAGCCGGCGGTAGTAACAATTTCTTTATTCGCTTTAAATGTGGACGTTTTTGTACGCAAAACACTTTTAAAACACTGGAATGTAAATTTGCATGCATTCGTCGTCAAAAAGAAAACGAAGCACCAACATGTGTTGTTATTCTTGGAAAGATCGAACAACCTCAACCGAACAGAATCGTCATGACGTCGGACTGTACTGAGAAGGAATTCTCGTATCGTCTAACTATGGATTGGAAGTATGTGTTCATCGATCACAGAGCGTCTTCTGTTATAGGATTTCTTCCGTTTGAGGTTCTGGGTACTTCTGTATATGAGTACTGTGGACCTGAAGATATCTTCAATATTTCTCAGTATCACAAGTTTCTTCTCCGTCTCGGGAAGGTTACCACTTGTTACTATCAACATAGGACAAAAGGACAGTCTTGGGTATGGTTGCGAAGCTCTTGTTATGTCTCTTACAATCAGTGGAACTCAAAACCGGAATCAATTGATTGCACAGCCACAGTTGTGAACTTTGACGAGGTTTGTTTGAATCAGACTGACACAATACGACGCGATAGAGAACACTTTAAAAGAATTCTCGAAAGACACGGGGATGATTCTGTCGGTTCCCTCAACCCTTGGCCGTCGTCTTGGCTTTACGGTAATGAAGAAGTTGAGCTACGTGATGGAGGCAATGAATGCGAGCAGAAAGACAAAAATGAATCGGGCTTCTCCTCACAATTTCTAACTCGATTTCTCAAATTACCCAGTGACAGATTGATGAATACTTTAGACAATCAAAGTATCGGCGATGTGGAAATGGAATCAGACGAAGAGCCAAATGAACACCTTGTTTGGCTTGAAAGTGTGAAAATTCCTCCTGGATTATCTAGTGTGCAAATTGCAATGCATATGAAACTTCAAGAGGAGTATAAGAAAATTGCCCAGCAAATTAGACAGCAGGAAAAACAATTGAAGACAATTAGGAAGCTTATTGAATGGAGCCGATTACTTTTGGAATTAGATAGGAGTTTTGGAACTTTTGAAGTAGAGGAGTCATCAGTAGACTCTGAAGATGTGTTGTCTGTTACTTAAAAGTTATGAATATATTTGGCTGAGTTAATTGTCACAAGGTCGGGACATTAGGACTGATGAGTCACTGCAGCAAACTGCTTCATGTGTTTCTTTCAAAGGAAGCTTTTCAGTATGTTTAAATTCATGGCAAAACATACTGAAAGGTTGCTGTGACCTTTCTCTGTGCTTTGTTGCTGTGTTGTGTTACTGTGTATTTTGTCAGAACTTGTTACCCACAGTGTTACAACCATAACATTTGGATTAACTTGTCATTGTTTGTAGGTCTGCCTACGAGAAACATTTTTAAAGTCTTGTATTATGATGATTTGCTCTTAAATTCTTACTTTTCTATTTGCCTACAGCCCGGATTGACAGGTTGAGTTTCAATTTAATGGCCTTTTTGATCATGTTACACACACCTCAGCTGAAGCTGTTGGTTTTCACTAGTTTAACCTTTTAATTTAAAACTTCAATGTGCATCTCTCTTCTAGCTGCCATATGTTTCCTTCTGAATAAGTTTAGAGAATTTGGTGTTTTATCAAGTTGTCATGCTCTAGCTGAAATGTATGATCATTCTCAGTGTATGTTTGCTCAGCTGGATGGTGTCTTAATATTATGGGAGGGGGACTTTGTTGATGAATCACTTCTGAAAGTTAAAGGGATGACTGCTCACCCATCTTTCCTTCAAATTTTTTTCCAGTCTTGAAAGGATACTTCAAAATATAAGATGATACATCTTTAACTGAGTTGACTGGTTTTCTCTTTAGGCTTCAAGATTTGAAAAATTTAGTGGTTTACTGTATAATGCCATCAACCACATCTGTTCTCATTTTGTATACTGTATTTCCTTGAAGAAGTGCACATGCACTTATTGAAAATTTCGGCTAAAAAAAGGGGTGCTTATTGCAAGGAGGACATTTAATCAAAGGGGGAGCATATTAAGTTTGCACAGCATTAGGACAAAAATTAAAGAACAGATAACACAAAGAGAGGAATTCTGCACGCTTTTTGAGGTGGAGATAATGGGAACAGAAAATTAACTCTTCTCCTGTACTGATTCAGCTGTAGTGGAAGCAAAAAAAGTAGTAAATAGAGTGGCATTAGAAACACGTTTTACTTCTATCCCTACTATTTGAGGGAGTGAGAGAGGTGGG